ATAAGTTGTCCTTTTTAAATGTCTGTGTTGGTGGGATCTATTGTCATGTGCCTTTTACAAGAAAGTATTATGGGTGATATTTTTATTGAATTTTTCATGTTTTGAAATGGTTGTTATCTTCATGCTTAAATGAAAACTTGGCTCTGTATAAAATTCTTAAGCTATTCTTTTTATTTCTCTTAGGAAATATTCTGGCATTTGAATGTTGCCGTGGAGAAGTATGAGGTTAACTTGATGTTTTTTACTTGTCTGATATGAAAAAAGTAGCTCATTTAATTTTTTTTACAGTTTGGTTAGTAATGAGTTTGAGCAATCTTTCTTGTTTGTTGGATATTTGTTGGTAATGATTAGAGCATGAATATGTAAGTCACTCCAAAGTCAATGCTGAGGTTGGGGTTAGCATATACTCTCTTGAAGGAGTTGGCAAATGATGGCCTGTCAGCCAAATCTGGCCTGCCACCTGTTTTTGTATGTTTATAAGCTAAGAATGGTTTTTACACATGAAAATTCACAACCACTTTAGTGATAGGTAACACTAACTTCGAATCCCAGTTAAGTGAGATGTTATCTTCCCCAAAGAACACTATTTTTCTTATAGGCCTGTATTACAAAAAAACATACATAATTATTGTTATCACTTATTGAATTTCATCAATAAAACATTTGTGGCAATTTGTTTTCTCTTTTGTTATATGGTACCTATGTAATAGCCTCAATTTTGCCTTTTGACTCACAAAGTCTAAAATATTTATTCTTTGGCTCTTTTTATTTTATTTTATTTTTTTGAGACAGAGTCTCACTCAGTTGCCCAGGCTGGAGTGCAATGGTGCGATCTCAGCTCATGGCAACCTCTGCCTCCCAGGTTCCAGCGATTCGCCTGCCTCAGCCTCTCAAATAGCTGGGATTACAGGCATGCACCACCACTCCTGGCTAATTTTTGTATTTTTAGTAGAGGCGGGGTTTTGCCATGTTGCCCAAGCTGGTCTCGAACTCCTGGCATCATATGATCCGCCCACCTTGGCCTCCCAAAGTGCTGGGATTACAGACCTTAGCCACTGCACCTGGCCACTTTGGTTCTTTTTCAAAAAAAGTTTATTGACTCTTGCTTTATTGCAAGTTCAGAATGGATTTGATTTAGGGATTTTTTTTTTTTTTTTTTTTTTTTTAAATCCAGTGCAATCTACTTCCCTTAGGATATGTTTCTTCGTCTTATCTCCAGTTATGGTCACAGTTGTATCCTTCAGTTGTTGGCTGCAGTGAATGATCCTTCTGTGGCCTTTCTTGATATTCTTTGGGTCATGAGTAGGACTCTTTGTGCACCTTGAGTCTTGTCAATAGGTAGACTGTCCTACATTGATGTTATAGTTGTCAGCTTCATACCTACTGTGTAGATTTTTTTTTTTTTTTTTTTTTTTTTATGAGACAGAGTCTCCCTCTGTCACCCAGGCTGGAGTGCAGTGGCGCAATCTCGGCTCACTGCAAGCTCCGCCTCCCATGTTCACGACATTCTCCTGCCTCAGCCTCCCGAGTAGCTGGGACTACGGGTGCCTGCCACCAGGCCTGGCTAATATTTTGTATTTTTAGTAGAGACGGGGTTTCACCGTGGGCTCAATCTCCTGACTCCTGATCCACCCACCTCGGCCTCCCAAAATGCTGGGATTACAGGCGTGAGCCACCGCGCCCGGCCGGCATTTCTATTCTAGTAAGACTATTCTTTTTTTTTTTTTTTTTTTTTGAGACGAGTCTCGCTCTGTATCCCTGGCTGGACTGCAGTGGCCGGATCTCAGCGCACTGCAAGCTCCGCCTCCCGGGTTTACGCCATTCTCCTGCCTCAGCCTCCGGAGTAGCTGGGACTACAGGCGCCCGCCACCTCGCCCGGCTAGTTTTTTGTATTTTTAGTAGAGACGGGGTTTCACCGTGTTAGCCAGGATGGTCTCGATTTCCTGACCTCGTGATCCGCCTGTCTCGGCCTCCCAAAGTGCTGGGATTACAGGCTTGAGCCACCGTGCCCGGCTAGTAAGAACGACTCTTACCCCTGGCTTATTTCAGTCTATCTTAGTTGATCTATCTGAAGCATATTCATTTGCCAGCTAAAACGTTTTCTATTCTCCATTGATTCCAGTCTTTTTTTTTTTTTTTAATGTCAGCTCTTTATTATTACTTTACTATACATTTTTAAAAAAATTATTCTTTAAGATCTAGGGTACATGTGCATAACGTGCAGATTTGTTACATATGTATACTTGTGCCATGTTGGTGTGCTGCACCCATCAACTCGTCATTTACATCAGGTATAACTCCCAGTGCAATCCCCCCCCCCCCCCCCTCCCCGTGATAGGCCCCAGTGTGTGATGTTCCCCTTCCCGAGTCCAAGTGATCTCATTGTTCAGTTCCCACCTATGAGTGAGAACATGCGGTGTTTGGTTTTCTGTTCTTGCCATAGTTTGCTGAGAATGATGGTTTCCAGCTGCATCCATGTCCCCACAAAGGACACAAACTCATCCTTTTTTATGGCTGCATAGTATTCCATGGTGTATATGTGCCACATTTTCTTAATCCAGTCTGTCACTGATGGACATCTGAGTTGATTCCAAGTCTTTGTTATTGTGAATAGTGCCACAATAAACATACATGTGCTTGTGTCTTTATAGCAGCATGATTTATAATCCTTTGGGTATATACCCAGTAATGGGATGGCTGGGTCATGTGGTACTTCTAGTTCTAGGTCCTTGAGGAATCGCCATACTGTTTTCCATAATGGTTGAACTAGTTTACAATCCCACCAACAGTGTAAAAGTGTTCCTATTTCTCCACATCCTCTGCAGCACCTGTTGTTTCCTGACTTTTTAATGATTGCCATTCTAACTGGTGTGAGATGGTATCTCATTGTGGTTTTGATTTGCATTTCTCTGATGGCCAGTGATGATGAGCATTTTTTCATGTGTCTGTTGGCTGTATGAATGTCCTCTTTTGAGAAATGTCTGTCATATCCTTTGCCCACTTTTTGATGAGGTTGTTTGTTTTTTTCTTGTAAATTTGTTTGAGTTCTTTGTAGGTTCTGGATATTAGCCCTTTGTCAGATGAGTAGATTGCAAAAATTTTCTCCCATTCTGTAGGTTGCCTGCTCACTCTGATGGTAGTTTCTTTTGCTGTGCAGAAGCTCTTTAGTTTGATGAGATCCCATTTGTCAATTTTGGCTTTTGCTGCCGTTGCTTTTGGTGTTTTAGACATGAAGTCTTTGCCCATGCCTATGTCCTGAATGGTACTACCTAGGTTTTCCTCTAGGATTTTTATGGTATTAGGTCTAACATTTAAGTCTCTAATCCATCTTGAATTAATTTTCGTATAAGGAGTAAGGAAAGGATCCAGTTTCAGCTTTCTACTTATGGCTAGCCAGTTTTCCCAGCACCATTTATTAAATAGGGAATCCTTTCCCCATTTCTTGTTTCTCTCAGGTTTGTCAAAGATCAGATGGCTGTAGATGTGTGGTATTATTTCTGAGGACTCTGTTCTGTTCCATTGGTCTATATCTCTGTTTTGGTACCAGTACCATGCTGTTTTGGTTACTGTAGCCTTGTAGTATAGTTTGAAGTCAGGTAGCGTGATGCCTCCAGCTTTGTTCTTTTGACTTAGGATTGTCTTGGAGATGCGGGCTCTTTTTTGGTTCCATATGAACTTTAAAGCAGTTTTTTCTAATTCTGTGAAGAAAGTCATTGGTAGCTTGATGGGGATGGCATTGAATCTATAAATTACCTTGGGCAGTATGGCCATTTTCACAATATTGATTCTTCCTATCCATGAGCACGGTATGTTCTTCCATTTGTTTATGTCCTCTTTTATTTCACTGAGCAGTGATTTGTAGTTCTCCTTGAAGAGGTCCTTTACATCCCTTTTAAGTTGGATTCCTAGGTATTTTATTCTCTTTGACGCAATTGTGAATGGAAGTTCATTCATGATTTGGCTCTCTGTTTGTCTGTTACTGGTGTATAAGAATGCTTGTGATTTTTGCGCATTAATTTTGTATCCTGAGACTTTGCTGAAGTTTCTTACCAGCTTAAGGAGATTTTGGGCTGAGACAATGGGGTTTTCTAAATATACAATCATGTCATCTGCAAACAGGGACAATTTGACTTCTTGTTTTCCTAACTGAATCCCCTTGATTTCTTTCTCTTGCCTGATTGCCCTAGCCAGTACTTCCAACACTATATTGAGTAGGAGTGGTGAGAGAGGGCATCCCTGTCTTGTGCCAGTTTTCAAAGGGAATTTTTCCAGTTTTTGCCCATTCAGTATGATATTGGCTGTGGGTTTGTCATAAATGGCTTTTATGATTTTGAGATATGTTCCGTCAATACCAAATTTATTGAGAGTTTTTAGCATGAAGGGCTGTTGAATTTTTTTCCAGTCTTAAATTTTTACCTTTAATTCTTCTGTTATGGTGCATGGCCATGTAGCACATCAACTTTATTTAAAGACTTTCTGTATCTTGTTAGATTTCCCTCGGTAATCAGAAAGAAACTCACCTTTTTATATTTCATTACTGACTCCCTTTTGTTCTATTCTATCTGAAGAATGGTGGTAATATATGGATGTGGCCTTTTAGTGCTTAGTGAATGGTGAAATTAGTTTATCAACTTCAGCTACCACTTCTGATGACTTTCGTAAGTTCTTTTTGATAATTTCCCCTAGGAAAATAATCTTAAAACTTACCATTATCTTTAACATGCTATTTAATGTAAACTAAAATTGTATGTACATAAACCAATGCATGTAAGATGGAAAAAAATTGCCGTAGAAAGGAAGTTAGACAATATAGAGATTGCCCTGAGAAAGCTAACTAGCTTTGTGAAGGGTTTGGAAATTATACTGTAAGAAACAAAAGCAGTCAGGATATTATATTAAGCCTATTGAGAAGCTGGGAACTATATATGCCATTTTGAATACCAATAGTCATAGTTGTCAGATTGTATTGTATATTAAAGATAATAATGTGAATTTTTTTTACAGCCAGTTACTTTGTAGTTTCACTCAGAAAAACATATGGAAACATTTATACCCATTGATTTTACAACTGAAAATCAAGAGATGGACAAGGAGGAAACCAACACAAAACCAAGGTAAAAATAAGATAAAATAAAATGAGAGTTTTTTCTAAAGTAAGATTTCAGCAGTATATGGCTGGTGTTAAGTCATTCTGACAGTGAAGGACTTAAAATATATCAGAATTTACTGATGATTCTAGAGTTTAGAAAAATCTTAGTTTCTCAGGGAGTATTTTCTAACAAGATAGGCAAGTTAACACTGGTTGTTGGCTCCTTCCCCCAGACCAACCTTGGATATGCCAAAACAGTGAGAAGGAGGTTGTTGGATATGACAAATTAACCAACAACTGAGAAATCCTAGGAAAGCAAAAGGCATCATTTGTAACAGTATTGAAAAATAGGTACATTAGATACATAAATACTTTTTTGTTTTTTGAGACAGAGTCTTGCTCTGTCACCTAGACTGGAATGCAGTGGCATGATCTTGGCTCACTGTAACCTCCGCCTCCCAGGTTCAAGCGATTCTCCAACCTCAGCCTCCCTAGTAGCTAGGATTACAGGCACCCACCACCACACCTGGCTAACTTTTTTTGTAGTTTTAGTAGAGAAGGGGTTTCACCATTTTGACCAGGCTGGTCTTGAACTGCTGACCTCATGATCCACCCACCTCGGCCTCCCAAATAAATACTATTTTTTTAAATGATGTAATTATGCCCTTTATGAAAAAATTATAAACTTTAATTGAGAATTCAACAAAATTTATATAGAAAAGCAAAGGGTCAAGAATATGTAAAACACTCCTTAAAAGAAAATCTGATAGTCTTGACCTACAACTCTTAAAACTTATTATAAAGCTATCATAATTAAGGAGTGTGCTGTAGAAACAAGGATACACAAATAAAGAATAAAGAACCCAAGAACAGACCATTGTATTCATTTTAAGTGAACATAGACTTGGCGTTATAGGTTAGTGAAGATTAAGCGGGCATGTTCAATAATGGTGCTGTGACAATTGTATAACCTTATTGGCTGGGGACAAGGGAAGAAATGGAGCCTCTTACAATATACCCAAAAGTCAAGGATTTAAGGACTTATGTGTTAATTAAAAGACTTGTAAAAGGTAAAACTTTATGTTAGGAAAACATATAAGCTCATTTTGTCATTACCTTGGACTGAGGAAAGATTTCTTTTTTTTTTTGCTTTCTTTTTTTTTGAGATGGAGTCTCATTCTGTCGCCCAGGCTGGAGTTCAGTGGCCAGATCTCAGCTCACTGCAAGCTCTGCCTCCCTGGTTTACGCCATTCTCCTGCCTTAGCCTCCCCAGTAGCTGGGATTACAGGCGCCCGCCACCTCACCCGGCTAGTTTTTTGTATTTTTTAGTAGAGATGGGGTTTCACCGTGTTAGCCAGGATGGTCTCGATCTCCTGACCTCGTGATCCGCCCGTCTCGGCCTCCCAAAGTGCTGGGATTACAGGCTTGAGCCACCGCGCCCGGCCTGAAAGATTTCTTAAGAAGTCATAAACAATACAAACCATAAAGGAAAATGCAGATAAATTATATTAAAATTAGTAACTTCTGTTTATAAAGACATCAAGAAAGTGAAAAGATAATTCCAAATGAGAGATATAAAGTGACAAAAGATTGCTGCTCAAAATGTGTAAATAACTACTACACATTGTTTACAAAATGGCAAAAAATTCAGTACCAAAAAAAAAAAAAAAAAAGGTGGGGAGGACAACAGATACAGATAGACATTTTAATGAAGAGGAAAATTTTCAAGATGTTTATAAACAAAGTGGGAACTCAAAACGCTCAAAGGAAAAGGATTTAAGTTAAGAATAATACCTAATAAGCGATCTATAAATAAGTTCAAAGACATTGTGCTTTCTTTGTCATAGAAAAGAAATATTACCTTCCTAATGATTTGATTAAGTATTTTTCTTTAATATACCAATAGATAAAGTACTTTTTTTCCTTAACAGTACATATAAGCCTTTACAGAACCTAGAATTTTCTCTGCTTTATAAAACTGTGATCTATAATATAAGTCGATTGTAGGCAGTAATTTTGGATTCTGTTCTTATGAAAAGGTTTTTCCAACAGTAGAGAGTTGGCCAATGTCCTGTGAAAAAAAAGGAAGGCAATATATGGGTATGAAATTTCAGAAAATTGTGTTCTGACTTCACTCTGTTTAATTGGGTAGCAGTTCTTATCTTCTAAAGTGAGATCAAGATTCACAAGGCCCTAACACCAGTTAGACCTATTTAAAATCTAACTAGACTCTCCATGTAAATGTTACAGATCTTTTTCAAAGTGCCTATCAAAAATATTTGAGTGAATAGATATTATATTGTATTGTAAAGTCAGAATAAATATTTAATCTTTCAGTTATGGAGAATGTTAATCATAGTATTTATTAAACCTAAGAAGCTGTTTTAATTATAAATGTGAAATTGTAGGTAATATGCTAATAGCTCAGTATTTTGTTGGTGTGATTTTTCCATTTATTTTCTTAGAATTGTTTTCTTTGTCATTTAGACTTTTAAAATATGAAGAGAAAAAATACGAAGATATAAAACCATTAGAGACTCAACCAACTGAAATAGCAGAAAAGGAAACATTGGAATATAAAACAGTTAAAGCATTCACTGAATCTTTGAAGTCAGAGAAAACAGAAGGTATTTATCAAGATTACTATTTAGGCATGTTGGTTTATATTTTAGTTTATGGAAATTGAAATAAATTTTTCATAGCATTAAATTAAGGAAACAAGTGAAACATATTGAAATATTAGTGTCTACTTTCAAAATATAAAGTTGGGTATTTTACTCACTTCATTAGTCATAGCAGTTAGCAGTGTCTTCAAATACAAAGCTTGCTCTTCAACGGGAACATAATCTAACTATTCATAATAGTAATAAAAGTAACAGGAATATTACTAATACCAGTGAAATGTCAGAATATCTGATATGTCTATAGCACTTTACAGTTTCCATCACTTTTTCATGCATATCATGTCATTTTTTTGAGGTACAGACCTTACAGGTGGGTCACGGTTCTCCTAAGTCCCCAGTGCCTCTGACTGTGTTGTGACCTCCTTTATTGCTCTTACCTACTAGTATCTAATTACTCCCTCACATATTTCCATTTTTTAAGTCTTCTTTCATTCTTCACTCAAATTCTACCATTTCCAGGATTTGATTTTATTTTTTACCACAACTTCCTTTCTCATCCAACACTTTTATGTCCTCACTTTTATAAGCTTTCAGCCCCATTTATGGTGCTTGTGTGGGGAAAACTGTACCTCCTCTCCTTTGAAGTAAATCCCACCAGCTCATTTTGGAGCTCTGCTTCTGCCATTTCCTCAGGAAATTGGGGTCCATCAGATATGTTCTCTGATGTCTTTTTTTCTCCTGGCTCTTTTTCTGTCAGCATATAAACAAGCTACATGCTTAAACACCTTAAACAAAACAACCCAGAAACATCTTTGGTTCTGTATTGGCTTCTCACAGTTATCAGGATTCTTGAAAGAGTAGCCTAGACTTCCTTACCTCTAATTCATTCCTCAACCTGGATTCCACCTCTTTCCTTCTATTGGTAAGACTCTTTCAAGGTCACCAGATACCTCCTCGTTGCTAATCTTTATAAAATAATTAATTTGTAAATAAAATAATTTGTATTTCACTGCATCATTCTGCAATATTTTATTATTTGACCACTTATTTCCATTATTTCCCCCTTGACTTTTAAGGAAATACTCACCTGGCTTTCTTTATACTTGTCTATCTGCTCATTTTCAGTCTCTTTTATGGATTTTTTACTTCTCTGTGTTGCCTTTAAATGTTATTGTTTCTCAGGTGTTTTAGGGTCTGCCAAAATTAGTGTTTCCTCTTCTCTATGGACTAGACCATACTTTGTTTTTAGTAATAATATATAGTCATGTTCTGCATATGACATTTTGGTCAATGATGGACTGAATATATGATGATGGTCCCATAAGATAATAATACTGTATTTTCACTGTACCTTTTCTACATTGAGATGTGTTTAGATACACAAATACATAGTATAGTGTTACAGTTGCCAACAGTATTCAGTACAGAAATGTGCTGTACAGATTTGTAGCCTAGGAGTAATAGTTTATTCCATATAGCCTTGGTGTGTACTAGGCTGTACCACCTAGGTTTGTGTAAGTGCACCCTTTGATGTTTGTGTGACAAAATTGCCTAATGATGCATTTTTCAGAATGTATCCCTGTCATTAAGCAATACATGACTGTATTTCTTCCTATTTTACCTAATAAATGCATACCACAAACAATATTTAGGTATACTTTTAGTTTTCTTCATCCTCTGCCTGAAGATGGGTGTATTTGATTTCTGGAAGGGGCCTGAGCTTCCAGAATTCTGGCCTTCATTGGACCAGAATGTTTTAATCTGTGGAGTGCCTAGACCTTACAGATAGCTGTGTTTGCAGGCTTGTCAAAGCTTTCCCTCCAACAGAGTGAAAAGTAGAAGGAGTACTCTGAGACTTTTGCTATTTTTCTTAGAAAAGAGGAAAGAAATATAAGGCTAGATAGGGATACAAATGTTGGGTAAAGCAAGGATTTGGCCACGTTAAGGAATTTTGTCATTATGCTTTGAAGATAAGAGCCATGGAAAGGTTTTAAGCAAGGAGTTAATATGAGGATTTCTGTTTTGCAAAGATCACTCTGGCTGTATATTGAAGAACAGATTGAAAGAGAACAAGAATCGATACAGGGGGACTATTTAGGAGGCTGTAGATATTCTGAAGGTACAGTTATCAGTTATGGTGATGGGTTGGTGAGAGAGAAGGAGGTGTCGAAGATGATACCTACACCTTGGGCTTGCTTAAAATAACCAATAGTGGTCCCATTCACTAAGACTGGAAGTCCTTAAAAAAAGGTCAGGAGTTTAGAGGAAGGATCATGAGTTCAATTTTGGACATGTTGAATTTGGAGTACCTTTGACACATGCCAGTGATGTCTAGGAGGCAGTTGAATATATGTGTCAGGAGCTCAGAGAAGTTAGGGGTGAGGTGATGTATTTGGGAGTAATCATGTGTGTGGATGTTTAAGCCATAGCCATTGATGAGATTGACCAGGGAGAATGTATAAAGTGAGACTAAAACAGGGCCAAGGAAATGTAGCAGTTACGAGCCAGGTAAAGGACAGTGGCAAAGAACATGGGATTGGTCAGAGTTAAGCTGAATAGGATGACAAGAAAGAGAGAGTGGGAAGTGTCACAGCAGTCAAAGGAAACAATTGTATCCAAAAGGAGAAGTGGTCTAAAGTATCAAATAACACTGGTAAGTAAAATGAGGACTAGAAAATGTCCATTGAATTTACTGACCTCGAGAATATGGGACTCGAGTGCTGTTTTTGTGACGTTCCAAAGCCAGACCAGATTGGATTAAGAAATGGATAGTAAATGAGAAAATAGAGTTAGTGACTATATGCAACTCTTCAGAGAAGTTTAGCTGTGAAGAAAGGCAGAATATAGACTGATAACCAGAGGGAGCTGTGATTTTATTTGAGATAGGAGCTGCTTGGATATGCAAAAGAAAAAAGGAGTAGTTAATAATGTAGGCATGAAGAGACAGGATCTAAACAAAATGTGGAAAGGATTGGTCTTGGATGAGAGGAAAACCAGATACCTTTTTACTAAGTCAGGAGGACAGGAGGGAAAGATGGGTGCACAAGTGGGTTGCTTCATTTGCTTGAAAATGGCAAGTTGAAGGAATTCCCACTGATGCTTTTTTGTTCCCTGGGAAGTAGGCATTGAGATCATTTGGAGGAGAAAGACTGAAAGGTAAAGGTTTAGAGATTTGAGGAGCATGGAGAAAATCTGAAATAGTCATTGAAAAGGAAGAAGAGCAAGTTAGACAATAGGATTTTTGGTTTGCATTCAGGGTCCATTTGTGGTTAATTAAAATAAATTTTGGGGGTTACCAATCCACATAGGGCCTCTTTCTAAGAGCACTGGAATGTACAAATGTATGCAAAGAGCACATAGAGTTGTTTTTTTTTCTTTACTATTATTATACTTTAAGTTCTAGGGTATATGTGCATAACGTGCAGGTTTGTTACATATATATACTTGTGCCATGTTGGTGTGCTGCACCCATCAACTCGTCATTTACATCAGGTATAACTCCCAATGCAATCCCTCCCCCCCGCCATGATAGGCCCAGGTGTATGATGTTCCCCTTCCCAAGTCCAAGTGATCTCATTGTTCAGTTCCCACCTATGAGTGAGAACATGTGGTGTTTGGTTTTCTCTACTTGTGATGGTTTGCTGAGAATGATGGTTTCCAGCTGCATCCATGTCCCTACAAAGGACACAAACTCATCCTTTTTTATGGCTGCATAGTATTCCGTAGTGTATATGTGCCACATTTTCTTAATCCAGTCTGTCACTGGATTTGGGTTGATTCCAAGTCTTTGCTATTGTGAATAGTGCTGCAGTAAACATACGTGTGCATGTGTCTTTATAGCAGCATGATTTATAATCCTTTGGGTATATACCCAGTAATGGGATGGCTGGGTCATATGGTACTTCTAGATCTAGATCCTTGAGGAATCGCTATACTGTTTTCCATAATGGTTGAACTAGTTTACAATCCCACCAACAGTGTAAAAGTGTTCCTATTTCTCCACATCCTCTGCAGCACCTGTTGTTTCCTGACTTTTTAATGATTGCCATTCTAACTGGTGTGAGATGATATCTCATTGTGGTTTTGATTTGCATTTCTCTGATGGCCAGTGATGATGAGCATTTTTTCATGTGTCTGTTGGCTGTATGAATGTCTTCTTTTGAGAAATGTCTGTTCATATCCTTTGCCCACTTTTTGATGGGGTTGTTTGTTTTTCTTGTAAATTTGTTTGAGTTCTTTGTAGATTCTGGATATCGGCCCTTTGTCAGATGAGTAGATTGCAAAAATTTTCTCCCATTCTGTAGGTTGCCTGTTCACTCTGATGGTAGTTTGTTTTGCTGTGCAGAAGCTCTTTAGTTTAATTAGATCCCATTTGTCAATTTTGGCTTTTGTTGCCGTTGCTTTTGGTGTTTTAGACATGAAGTCCTTGCCTATGCCTATGTCCTGAATGGTATTACCTAAGTTTTCTTCTAGGGTTTTTATGGTATTAGGTCTAACATTTAAGTCTCTAATCCATCTTGAATTAATTTTCGTATAAGGAGTAAGGAAAGGATCCAGTTTCAGCTTTCTACTTATGGCTAGCCAATTTTCCCAGCACCATTTATTAAATAGGGAATCCTTTCCCCATTTCTTGTTTCTCTCAGGTTTGTCAAAGATCAGATGGCTGTAGATGTGTGGTATTATTTCTGAGGGCTCTGTTCTGTTCCATTGGTGTATATCTGTTTTGGTACCAGTACCATGCTATTTTGGTTACTGTAGCCTTGTAGTATAGTTTGAAGTCAGGTAGCGTGATGCCTCCAGCTTTGTTCTTTTGACTTAGGATTGTCTTGGAGATGCGGGCTCTTTTTTGGTTCCATATGAACTTTAAAGCAGTTTTTTCCAATTCTGTGAAGAAAGTCGTTGGTAGCTTGATGGGGATGGCATTGAATCTATAAATTACCTTGGGCAGTATGGCCATTTTCACGATATTGATTCTCCCTATCCATGAGCATGGTATGTTCTTC